TGTGTGTGTGTGTGTGTGTGTGTGTGTGTGTGTGTGTGTGTGTGTGTAGGCCTGAGGTCAACCTTGGGTGCTATTTCTCAATAAGCCTTCCCCTTGCTTTTGAGACAGCTAGGCTGTCTCGCTAGGCTGGCCGGCCAGAGAGTCCCTGGGAGTCCTAGCTGTGGACTGTGAGCATACAGCATTGCCCCAGCTTTTTATGTGGGCGCTGACAGCTGAACTTGGGTCCTCAGGCTTATGTGCTAAGTGACCGAGCCAGCTGCCTCGCCTGAGTGTGACTGTTGTGTTGTCTTACCTCATGTTTCCTTGATTGCTCTATGGAATCCCAAACCCCCACATCCACCCGATCTGAAGTGTTTCTTGAGACAGGATCTTGCCACGTAGCCCATGCTGACCCAGAATTTGCTAATGGAGACCTCAAAGTCACTGTGACCCCCTCTTTCTGCCTTCAAATTGCAGGTGGCAGGTGTGTGCACATGCCTAACCCTGGACTTTTCAGATAGGGTCTTGATCTGTGGCCCAGGCTGTCCCCAAAATGGCCATCCTCTTGCCTGGGTCTCCTGTTTTATGGGCCCTGTGTCCTGGCTGATCTATGTCTTTCTTCCCTCTTTCCTTTTCTCAGGAAGGCAGAGAGGGGCCTGGGAGTCAGGAAGGGAAGAAGGAAGGGAGACTGACAAGTTCACACAAGAGATGCATCTGCTGCTTTGGTTACAAATCTCCAGCTTAGGAACTTGAGCCCAGTAAGTGAGGAGACTCGCTGACTCGGCTGACACTTCCCCCAGGGGAACTCCCAGGCTCGCCCCTGGAGGGAGTCTTCTTGGGTTCTGTTATGTACGGTACAATTCCGCACAGCACTGTTGTGACTCGTCGTCATGTGGCTATGCACAGTGTTGGAGAGCAGATGTTCTCCGGTTTGGAAGGTTCTGGGAACTATAGGAGGTAGGCCTCGCTGGAAGGAGTGGGCCCCTGGAGGTCGAACGGTGCGTGCATGTGTGCGAGTGTGTCCCCTCCTGTTTTCCACCATGTTCTGCCCAAGCACATGGGGCCAAATGACCATGGACTGAACACCTCAAAACCATGAGCCAAAATGACCGCTTTCCCCTTCCTGTCCTCTATGTACAGTATTCCATCACAGCAAGGCAGAGGAGACTCACGGAAACTGGCGCCACAGGGAGGGATGCTGGCTGTGACCTCACAGTGAGGATCCCAAGTCTCAGAAACTTTCTGTGGGAGAACTTTGAAGTCTGGAGAGGCAAGCTAGAAAAGGCCTAGGCTGCTGTAAGCAGAACTTAATGAGCAGTTCCTGTGGGAGTTCAGAAGACTAGGATGCCAGGAGGAAGTGGTGAGCCCAGGCTCCATGGTTTCAGAAGGCAACAGGGACTCTAGTGGGAAATGGACTTGGGGGCCATTCATGTTTCTAGAACATGGTATGTTCTAGAAAAGAGTACTGTGCATGTCCTAGGATTTTGAGTAAGGCTGAATTTAAAGGTAAGAGAATAATTGTTCTGATGGAGGAAGTTTTTAAACATTTGTGAATGTGTGCGCTTGCAAATGTGTATACGTGCATACACATAGGCAAGCATACACTACAACACAATGGAGGAGACAGGAAACGGACCCGAAAAGAATGATGGGAGAAAGATACAGACAGAGAGGTGGAGGAGGCAAAGACTTAACTTCAGAAGAAAAGATTTGGGAAGAGTGGCTTTTGGGGCCAGACAGCTCACTCTTGTTTTGCTCTTTTGACACAGGGTGCCACTTTGCAGCTCAGGCCTGCTGCAGTCTCCTGATACAGAACCGTAGGCTTCTGCCAGGCTGCCAATGCGTTCAACTCATTCAACTACGAGTTCTCTGTTGAAAGCTAGACAAGGGAAGGAACGGGGCCTGAGGAGAAAACATGGCCCGCCTAGGAAGCCAACATTCTTTCTCTCACAGACTGCACCAGAGGGTTCAGACTCCAGGAGTATTCTAGAGAAGACACATTCTCAAGAGAACAATCCTAGAAAGAACACCAACAGACAGTTTGTGACAGGCCTCCCAGAACCCCCCCCTCAAGTGCTTACTGACAACACGGCTATCTCACATCAGTATCAAGAGACAAAATTATGGGCCAGGCATGCAATCCCAGCAGTCAAGGCAGAGGCAGGCAGATCTCTGAGTTTGCGGCCAACCTGATCTACAGAGTAAGTTCCAGGACAGCAGGGCTACTCAGAAAAACCCTGTAACCCTGTCTCAAAAAACAAAACAAAACAAAACAAAACAAAACAAAAACAAAGAAAGAAAGAAAGAAAGAAAGAAAGAAAGAAAGAAAGAAAGAAA